ATATAGACTCTTGCTCAAATGTACAGGACAAAGCAAGACGATGACTTTTTACAGTGAGAAATAGTTATCATAGATTTAACTGAGATGAACCCAAGAAACACCTTTATTAAACTCCGTAAATCTTAGCTGGCAATAAATTTGATGTCAGCTTTGGAACTGGGGAGATAAACAACTTATTCCAGAGAAAATACCAGGATAAAAGGTTCTGGGATTATTAGATGGCTTCTGTGACATTTCTGCTCACAAAGGAACCTATTATTTTCCTTATTGGCAGGAGAAGGACACAGGGAAGGAGGTGCTTAATAAAGATTAGTTTGAAAACCGCGGACTGGCGGGATCATCGGGAGCAAAGCCCAGGGCTGCAGAGCCCGCTAGGATCAGTCCGCATTAACTGGGCTGGAGACATGACAATGGGGCCGGGAAGAAAGAGACGATTCTGGAAACACCGAGAAGGAGAAAAATGGGTAGGATTCTCGCTGTCTGAACACCCAGCCAAAGATGACTGCGTCGCATGAGAGCCTCAGGGGGTGCTGAGGTCACCTGGCAGAGTCCTGCCATCTGCAACCTTGAGGCTCTCACTGTATCTTGCTGTGTCCTGAGCAAGGCCCTCTGGCCAGCTAAGTTCTCTCGGGATTTCACTTTAGTTTTATGCGATAGCTTCTGTGCCTCCACCCCACTGCCTTTCTGACCTTGCTTCCAACTCTCCACATCGGGGTGTCACCTGGAACTGTGCCCCATTGTAAACCTCTCCTGACATCTTCATGATGAGCTCCATCAGCCTCCAGTCTTTTGCAGGACACTGCAACTCCTGGGGTCCTCTCTCTAGCTCCACACACCTGCGGGACTTGGAGGAAGGGGAGCATTTCTCTAGTGTTCTCTTGCTACATGCAGGCTCTTTCTTCCCCACCCTCATATAAAAACCCTTCCTCATTTAACCACTTGCCACCTGCCTATATTATCTATGAACGTCTATGTTCTCTGCCTTCTACCAACGTCTCGGTGAGACTCACTTTTATTAGGGGCTTTGGACCTTGGTTCCTGTTTCATCATCGTCCTGGTAAGCTTTAATGTCACTATGGATGAGTCAGACGACAGCCAGCCTCATGCTTCATCTTCCTCATCTTCAAAGAACTTAACGCCCATCCATTTCTGCTGCCACTCCCGATGGCTGCACCTAGGGCTTCGTCATGTCTGAGATCTGTGCCCAGTCTGGAACATTATTCTCTACCGTCCGCTCGTGACTGTCACTTCCAACTTCCCAAATTATTTCCTCTCTCACTCCCTCCCCACCTATGATTCTGCTCCAGTGAAACGTCTAGTCCTTCGGCTCCTCCATTTTTTCCAATCTTCACTTTACTTCCCCTTTTTATTTTAATATGGACCCAATAATGCTTAAATTGAAGCATAATCCTACAAAATCCTCAACTCCATTGCCCCCTGCCACTTCTGCATTACCTGACTTTTGTAAAACCCCAGCTCTGAGTCTAAGCATTAATAAAAGAGAAAATTAATACACTTTGGTTGAATTCTCAACCTCAGTGATGTTTCCTTTCTGTGTGTCCAGAAGTCAGCTACAGTACCCTTAGGCCTCTGTCCTTAAGCCTCCTAATGGACCCCACTCTTCGACTCTCCAGTTCCCTGAGGAAATACATGCCCTCTGGTAGAAACTCCCCCATTTTACTGCCACGTGGTCTGCACAGCCCCCCTCCCTGTCCTCCCCTCTGCTCTCACTCTATCTGCTCTCTAAATCCCATCTCTTTCTGTATCTTCAACATTTTTGTATCTCTGTTCATTCTCCTGCTCCCTGGCACAGGAACCAATGAATGTCTCTCATCGCAAAAAACAATATTCCATTAACCTTGAAGCCACTCACTAAACATATACTTGCCCCAGCCTAACCAACTTTTACTTGCCTCCTAGGGAAAAGAGAATGGGGCCAGGAACAATGAAAAAGAGACGCAAAGCAAAGAATGCATAATCTAGCTGTGAAGACACTAAACTGAAAACTGCTTCTTCAGACACGTCTGGTAGCTGGCCTCCCAGCATCTAAGCGAGATCACGGTTCTGAACAGAACGCTGGAAAGGGAAACGGGAGGCAGCAGAAGGCAAAGGTGGAATATGCAGCTTCCTTCTGGTCGTTAGGTGGAAAGAACAGAATTCATTTTGTCAAAGCCAGGTAATTGGACAAGAAGGGTGAAGAGCAAGCAAGATTATGCCGCGGACAAGCGAAAGGAAGACTGGAGAAGATGCCTGCGTAATGGCAGGGAGGCGAGGGCCAAAGAGGAAGCTGCGCTTTGAAAGGATGTGACAAAAAGCTGCGAAGGAAGGGACAAACTGCACTGCCTCAAAGCACAGACGGACCGTCACCGTCATTGTAATGCCGTGCGGTGCTACTGCGCTGGGCAACGCGACTGCAGTGCTGACTTTTCAAAGCCTTTTCACATCTGAGATGTCATTTCCATCCTCACAGTAACCCAAGGAGGTAGGTATCATGGGTGATTGCAAACAAGGAAGAAGGAGATGAAGCAAAAGCCAAAATAAATGTGCATATAAGGAAGTGTGGCTCATTCGGGAAGAAGGTGCTGAGCGAAGAGAGAAGGGGGCACAATGACAGCACTGTTATGTGATTAATCAGAGAAGGCAGTAAGGGTGGATGGTGGTAGGTTTCACGTTAGAACAGAGGCCAAGAAAAATGGAAGGAATTTCCCCTCCTCTTCCCGTTCCTCCTCCTCCTCCTCCTCCTCCATCATAATTGTCGAGGAAGGAAAATCCTGGAGGAGACTGGGCAGCACAAAAATGCCAGAAAAGTATAGATTCCTAATCAAGGGAAATTATAAATTATTCATTGACCAATGGATGAGCTTCAGGGGCTTAGGGAACTCCCACAATCATATACAGCATTTTGTTTGGTGTGGGTACATGCATTTTTTGTGGGGTGGAGTGAGGACAAGAGAATAAATCCTCAGACTGACTCTCAGGGTTCCAAAGCCCTACCCAATATTAAGAACTGCCATGTTGAAACAAAGGAACAGAGAACATGCATCAAATACCCAAAGATGGGAAAGGATTCCAAGCTTTTTAAGCGTCCAGATGGAGGAAAACAGTGACTTGCCTGAGAAACAGACTGCATAAGCCACGAGACAGTAAGTTTAGCTAATACACTGGGGCCAGGGACATAGGGGAGAGTGTTTAGCTCAGCTACATGGATTCCAAACATGAGACTAGGAGCCCATCAGCTAAGCTGATTGGATTCAAGATGTGGGAACTATGGATGTCACTGCAATATATGTTCTAAATGGGTGAATTAGAAAATAAATCAAAGCATCAGGGAGGCAGGCGGGGAGGAAGAGAGAGAGAAAGAGGCACAGGTGCCTAAGTAATCTCTAGTTGATGAACAGCAATATTGCTTCTGGTAAGGAAATATTCATTAAGATTCAGCCAAGGACAGGCTCGAGATAATGTATTCAGAGACAAATAACCAATATAGATCAAGGGGGGGTTAGTTTGCCTGAGATGACAGGAAGCTTCAAACGATATGATGGAATAGTTGGAGGTCAATTGGCTAAGAACAGTAGGAAATTGCTCATAAACAGGGTATATAAAAGCTTCCAAAAGGGAAAATACTGAATGAAAATGAAGAAACTAGATTTATCAATGTGAAAGGAGCAAAGCCTCCAGGGGACAATGGAAGGAACACAGAACTCTATAAAATGTGAAAGTCAGGAATGACTTAGCCATGGCAACAGGTCTTATGAGATTCATTCGTTTGTTTGTTAATTCACTCAACAAATATTTACTGAGCACCTTCTCTGTGCCAGTTACACTGTTAGACACTGGTAAGAAAATGATGAGTAAGATGACATCATCCCTGACCTCAAGGATATTAGTGACAG